TATCAAAATTCACATTTTTCATGATTTAACTGAAAAAATTACTCTATATTAGTACACCCACACAAAAACATGTTACTATCAATATAACTTGGATGCTGGTGTGAGGAAATAAGATTCTAAGGAGGGAAACGGAAAATTTATATTATTAATATAAAGAAAAAAATTAGAGGATAGTGAGGCAATTACATCATTTCTTATTGAGACATTGAAACGTAAGAATTTCAAGGTTTCCTTTATAGGATGGATTAAAGCTTTATACACAAATTCCCATGGTAGGGTGTCACAGCATGGGTGGCTATCTGAAACTGTTTATATTCAAAAGGGCGTTCGCTAAGGCTGCCCAGTATCAGCTTCGTTATTTATATTAGTGGCAGAAATATTAGCAAATAAAATTCGAGAAAAAAATACAATAAGAGGGATAAATATTACAACTAAAGATATAGAAGTTCAGAGGGTTAGCGAAGTAAAGATAACACAATTCGCAGATGATACCACATTATTTGTTAATTCAATGGAATCAGTAGATAATGTTATAAAAGAGTTAGACGACTTTGAATATTTTGCAGGCCCAAAGATTAATTGGAATAAAACAAATGTAATGAAAATGAAAGAATTAGATACGACAAAATATGATATTGAATTTACAGAAGAACCAATTAAACATTTAGGTGTTTACGTTGGTAAAAATGATAAATATGTTAGCAGTATGAATTGGGAGGGGAAAGTTAAAAAAATCAATAATATTCTTAAGACGTGGAAAATGAGACGAATGACCTGTTATGGAAAAATAATAATTATAAAATGTTTGATAATTCCTCAGCTCGTCTATTTAGGCACAGCTGTCTCAATGCCTATTCATAAATGCAAGGCTTTACATAGGACTATATATACATTTATATGGAATTCTAAACGTGAAAAAGTAAAAAACGGAATGTTTGTATCAAGTCAGAAAGAGAAGGGGGGCTTGGTATGGTTGATTTGATTTTGAAAGCTAATTCACTTAGATTATCTTGGATATATAAGTTTTTTAATGCAGATGATGCAATGTGGAAGACATTATTTTTATTTTGGTCTGAACGAGTTGGCGGGATGCCGCTATGCTTACAGTATAATTGTCATATTAAACAAATGAAAATGATTTGTAAAAAAAGAAATTTACCAATGTTTTATATGGATTTGCTTTGCACATGGTCAGAAATTCGATATGTAAATAAATTTGAAGTAAAAGATATTCCCAATGAAATACTTTGGAATAATAGTAATATTTTAATTGATAATAAACCTCTGTATTTCCCGTCGTGGATTAAAAAAAAAAGGGAATTTGTCAAATCAAACATGTTATAAATCAAGGTACATGGATAGATAACTCTCTATTCAATAACCATTTTGATGTAAAGAATCTGTTGTTTTTATTTAAAATGTCAAAATTAAAAAAAGCATTCTCAAAATATTGGTCACAAAATTTACGTTTAAACAAAGCTTCAAGTCTCAATGAAACAATGTACATTGAGACAACTTTAGATGTTATAAACGTTGAATTTACTAAGGCGAAAAGTTATTATATTTTAATGCTAGAAAAGAAAAAAGAGAAATTGGTTTCCAATTTTGGCAAAATATTTTAGGCCTACCAGAAACATTTGTTTGGAAAGATGTATTTCAGTTCAAATTTAATAAGAGGCAATAAGATCAAACAATATAATTTTAAATTAATTCATAGAATATTGCCATCTAAAGACAATCTCTTTATATGGAAAATCGTACAGTCTAACGAATGTGAAATTTGTCGTGAAAAAAACAACTATTGAACATTTTATATTTCGTTGCAAGAAATTAAGAGTTTTCTGGAAAATTATCTCAAGAATTATATATTTGATTTTTAAAATAGAAATTGAAATTGATATGAAAATGTTATTGATTGAATATAAAATAGATAACAGAAAATTTACTTTACTTCATTTTTGTATAAATTATGCTCAACTGGTTATATACAAAGACTACGTAAAGCGGAACTTTGGAGAAGTACCAACCAATCCAAAGAGGTTAATAAATAATTTTATTTCATCATTAAAATGTTATTTGAAATACAAAGAAAATATAAAATACTTCGATATTGAGGAAGTTAAGAAAGTATTAGAAATGTTAAAATGATCATTTTAAGATATTATGTTGATCTTGTATATAATTCACGTTTCATTTTACTTGTTTTGTAAATAATATATATGTATTTTGAAATGGAACAATAAAGTCCCTCTGAAGAGGTAAAGAGAAGAAAAAAATATTATGTAGGTTCTTCGATATGAGAAATTTTTTAAAGAGATGTTTTAAAAGAATAGAGAGAGATGAACAATGTCTTATTGAATTTTAAAGGCTAAGCACACATAAAAATAGTTTGCTTTTAATAGCAGCAGAAAACACAAGAGAAACAGAGCATAATAAATTAGAGTAACATCAGATAACTAACAAGGAAATTATGAAAACATATTACTATCAATATGACTTGGATGCTGGTGTGAGGAAATAAGATTCTAAAGGGGGAAATGAAAATTTATATTATTAATATTTAAAAAAAAAAAAGAGGATAGTGAGGCAATGACATCACAGACTCATGAATGAGCTGCCGATTTGTCTTGTGATTTTCAACGTTTTTTATTTCATTGAAAATTCATAATAACATTCTTCAAACTTTTTTTGATTGGTTTGTCTGATTGTTCTGCTTCTATTGATATTAAGTTATTTTTGGAGTGGACTTGCCCTGGATTACTTTCGACGTAGCTTTGACTATCACAATGGCTTGAAGGAAGTCGTCGCCGTGGTCAGATACAGACAGCGATTTGCCATACGTTGAGCTCTCCGCTTTCTCTGAGCTGACATACCGATCCAGATAGCGATGTCTGCCATTGTCAGAGGTCTTAAGATTGATCTATGAGGAGATTAACATTTCATTTTGTATCGGAATTAGGGACTTTATTGTTCATTTACCATGAATACATGATTGCTAACTTCTTTTCTAAAGATGTATGGTTTGTTAATATTTTTAATCTATTTAATCTATTTTAGTTACAAAACTTTCTCATATTTTGATTCTTACCGCAAAAGTAGCAGGTTTTTTTTCAATAAAAGTTTGATAGCTTGAAAATATTCGCTAACTTTTGAATTTAAACTGATTTAGATTATTATAAAAAGGCCAAACAAACATTATCATAGATACCTTTTAATACTATTTCTAACGTATAACAGAAATAAGATCCGTTTACGCATATTACTAAGTAATAGCGGAGACTTTTTTTTTCCATTGATTTAGACGAAATAAATGCAAGAATGAAAGGGGGCATTAATTCTCTTGGATTGGATTGGATTGGACTGATTGAGTTACCTGATCACAAACGTATTTCTGATAATCTGAAGAACAAATCGATTGGATTCGATGAAGAAAGTTTCGAAAGAGTAGGAAGAAGCAACAGGTGCACTCCGAAGCTAGATCAAAACTGGACACAGAGCGCGCGTCATTGTTTGTTGTTCCAAGAGACCATTCAACGCGCGTCCTTACCAACCATTGTGTCGTCATTGATGGAAAACTTTGAGCCAATCAGAACGCAGCGCAATGCACTGGCCAATGAAAGCGTCGTATTATTACGTCACAGTGACGTATATCTCAGTGAGCAGCTAGCTAGCTAGCTAGCTGTAGGCTGGTAGTTTGATGATGATGATGATGAACAGCGTTTGTATGGCGCCATATCTGTTTCAGAAAACATTCAAAGGCGCGAGCTCCTCCAATAAAATTAGCATTTAGTTTGGTGTTGGCACGGTGGTAGAGCGATGATCACGTGGACGGAAGATGTCAGGTTCGAAACATGACGAAGGCTAAGGCGAAGATCAAGAGGTCTTTGAACTGTATGTAGTAATTGGACAAGGAAAACGATGGCATATTAAGATTGCTTGTATAATTAATATTATATAATATTAACAAATTGACCCACTTCAGGTACATGTAGTTACAGAGGTATGGCTATTTCAATTTTTGTTTTAAAGGCCATCTGTAGGCCCACTAGTTAGACCACCCAGTGAGGTCACTGACAGCTCTCAATTAACATATGAAAAAGAGGATCATGGGGGACCAACAGGCACCGACTGGGGAAGTTTTCTATATGGAGGGAGCAAGTAGCTACTAGTAGTACAGTGGGGCTTAATGTCCGTCGTTTGGCCAACATGTTTGTGGAATGGTGCCCCACTTGCCAAATATGGGTTAAATTGAAGGGGGTAGGAATTAACGTATAGTAGGTGATCTGACACGGAATAGGCTATTTTCGTAATGTAACCAAATATAATGCATACGTCTTTGTGAAGAGCCTCGTTACAAACTATTTCATTCACTGTGATAAGAATAATAGTATTTTAATAGACAGAATCCTATAACTGCATACATTAGTTGTTGCCAGGTAGGACCACAAACATTATTGCTCACCCTACCTAGCTACACTTAATATATGCAGTTTGCATTCTATTGAAATACACTTACTCTTATCAGGTGAATGGAATAATTTGTCTTGGGCACTTAAATTTGGTAACATTACGAAAATGGCCTATTCCCCCCTCCCTCTTCCATTTTGATAACCCCCCCCCCCCCCCGACACACAACACACACTCTCTCTCACTCTCTCTGTTTTTACCTTTCTTTCTTCGTTTCGGCTCTTTCCCAAAGAAAAACAATAATCATCATCACTGGGACCTAACCACTTTCTTCTTCCCATTTTATAATCTCTTCCATAACAAAAAATTGTATATCTCACACTCTCTCTCTCTCTCCCTCCTTCTTAGTGGTGTTCATATTTGTCCCGCTAGATCGGAGGCTTTTAAGATTTCTAATCGAGCATTATGAAAAAGTATCCACACCCCCCCCCCCCCCCCCCCAATATCCCTTGGATATGAATGGGGAATTAATATTGGGAAAAAATTACATATTGTCTATTTTTTCACGCACAAAATAGAAAAGCAACAATATATGAATTTATAAGTTGAATTTATTAATATGCTACCCTTTTACCACACACAACCCCGGATAAGCACTTACACAACTCTATGATAAGACTGTAATATTAGTGACCATATTACCACTTTTTATATATTTCCACTTCTTTTAACTTCCAACTACACTAAACAATCTATTTGTTAAAAAAAAACCTTTAGTCCAATAGGATTCAACCACTCTTGTTATTTCAAAACAATTTTTAAAACCAGTTTCCCCCGCAAGTTCATGAAAAAGAGCACCTTATGTGCTAGTACAAAATGTGTCGCCAAGTGGAGAAAGTATTGCGATATATGTTACTCAAATCATTTGTGCACCCTCAACATGTATTTCAAACCAAAGAAAATACAATGAATACAATTGTTTGATACAAAAAGAACATTAAAACTGTTACATGGTACAAATAGATTGTCAAACATGAAAGAATTTCCGTATTCAGTAAGTGAGGAAGATGGTTGCATATATATATGTAAGATCTAAAAAGGCATGATTAATAAGACAAAGAACATGGTACCTAAGAGACCTGATATAGTTTCTATTCTTATTGTTGAAAAATATATAAATTGATGTATAATTCAGTTGTAGTAAAAAGTTTTCAGTGCATACTGTCAAAGTGAAAATATGCTTGTAGATCTATTCAATTTTCAAATTTATGAACATGATTCTTTAACACTCCAACAAAATTCTTTCAACTTTGATTATAATCCATGACTGTGACAGTTACATGATTGTTTTCCAAGCCAGCTTTTCATTATATACAAATTAAAATGAGAGAATAATTAGACTTGATTGAAGCAGAGATTTCAATGCATGATAAAGTTTATACTCCAGCAAATTTCAATTCGATTGACTGATCAGATAATTTCTCAACAAATTTATTTGTTGAGAATCTATTCTTTTCTGTGATTTCCTTTCATGAGTATGCGCCCAGCACAATAACAGAGTGACATCAAGGCAAATGGCATTGCTTATAACCCAAGCAAAGTACTGTTTTTCTTTTATTATTTGCAGTTTGAAAGAACCCTCATTTTCACAATAACAGTCATAGTTATCTAACCCTGCAGTTTCATAACACATGGAAAATATATTGAAAATATGTCTCTATGCGTTTTTCAGAATAATTACCCTGGCATTGATATATATTTTTCTACTGGAAGTTCTTGGTACAAGGAAAAAAATGGCTTTTGAAAATGGGAGAGTGATCAATGAATTCATATGTTTTTTCACTCTGTGAAATTAAATCTTTTTTTAGCATACTATTAGGACCCCCTCTATATTGATGCAGTCCTCCAAAGAAAAAAAATCAAAATATACAAGCACTTACTATTATTTAACTTCTATCACAAAAAGCACTTTTAAGTACACGCTGTAACAACATTGAATACATACTCACTACTTTCATGCTCTTACGATAAACAATTATATCTTTCAATTCCCAAGCATACCTATTACCTTCCACTGTCAAATTATGGCTATACAGAGTGCGTAAGATAAAGTGATATTCAATTCTAAAACTTCTGACATATTTCATGCCAAGCAAAATAATACAGAGTGAAACTAATATATCACTTAAACATGATGTGATTTGTTAATGCAAATACATTATCACACTGAGGAGAGCAGATCCTAAATTGATTCTATTTTAAACTATATTATGAAAAAATATCAATACTACATGTATTTCATACAAAAAGTTTGATCAATCATTTGAAATAATCAAGATTGCATTTTATACTGCCATTCAAATGGCCCTTTAGTACAGAGTATTTGAAATAACTGGAATTGAATTGTATAATACCAATAAAATAACCTACAAGAATAGGTTATAAGACACACAAATATTGAAATATTTCTATTTGTTTCTATTCATTCTCTATCTCTGCTGAGCTAGACTCGATCTCTACATCATTCTAATTGGATTTTTCAGATATAATTATTTTACATGTGAATTACATTCGCTATCGATATACAAAATTTTTATTTTGAGTTTAAAAAATACATGATAATCTCCTGATTTTGTGAGAGGTATCACCTGGCCTGTAATGACCTTCGTGACCTTTGACCCTGGTAGTAATTTCTGTCACTCTCACTCTCTCTCTCTCTGGTCCCCATCGGATCTAAGAGTAGATGTTCATCGTCAGGAACTGTAGAAAACAAGCAAATCAAAGAAATAATGAGACATTTTGAAAAAGAATTGATGAGTCGATAATCGATACGTAGAAAACACATATTATTAAGGGCAATTTAATGTAAAAAAAGAGACATTTTGACAAAAGTGTGCAATTCTAATCAGTCATATCAAGAGCAATTTATCATTTTGGAAAAGGAGTAGCATGTCTAAAAGAATATTCTGTGTCCATTACAACATGCTCCCTATTTTCATCCTCTTCACCATTCTTGATGAGTCTCGATTGATATTTCATCTCGGTGGCATCAAACCAGAACAATTCTTGACGACGTTGTCTCTATTTGCTGTATGACACGATGCACACTTGCTCTTATAGTGAACTAACAAGTAAAAGCTCGTTCAGACATGACATGGCAAAACCGGTGCTTTTTTTAACAGCGGTTTACCACGCCATATGTGAACATGCCTTGAGAGTATTATCTAGTAATAACTGCTAATATTATAGAATGAAAAAATAAGAATATGCCAGACATCATGGAAAGCCAATTTACTGGTTCTAATAATTACACAATATCTGTACCATTTCAAGAGATTTGTAACCTTTGAATACCTTGAAATGTTTCATTAAATATCCAAATTGAGATGATACAAACAAGAAATCAAATCTAGCATGATGTCTTTTCAAAAAAAAATGTTTTTATCTTCTAATTTTTTAGGCTGTTTTTAAGGCAGGGTATTTTACTGACACTACTCCAGATTTATACTGCTGTATACTGTATACTGCTGCTCACAATGTCCTGATGTGTCAACACTCATATCCCACAATGCATCACCAAGTGCATGAAGCGCACACGATGATGCTTGGGTACAGGAACCGGGAATCGCTTTATGTACACCTTCACCGCAAGATGGTGCAAGTAAAGATACATTACAGTAGTGGTAGTGATTCTGGTAAAACACCCTGCCTTTAAATTACAACAGAAATCATATGATAACAAAATTTAGCACTTTAGATTGCCACTTTTCCATAACAACTTACTTCATCTAATCCAAACGAGGCATTGCCCCCACGACTCTTGGCTGCAAAGGAGGCTAGAAGTAAAAATAGAATAGAAGAAAACAAAAATAAAAATAACATGATTCATTAAAAATAAAAGATTGGCCTCATGCCTTGGTGGCCAAGGACACCACATTTAACTAATTTTTGTTGAAAATTGAATTCTTAAAATCTGTTTTAAAACTACCAAAGATTTTGCCACACAGATTACTATATATATATATATATATATATATATATATATATATTCATTATATTCATATATAAATTACTTTAAGATCTACTTAGTAGTTTTGTGATATTGTACATGTACATTTCAATATATCAAAGAAGATAAATGAAGATGCTATTGTTTATTTGTGTATTTAAAGGGATGACCAAAACACCCTTTAGTCTTCAGAGGTGAAGTTTTATCTTCAGGAGTTGTCACTGACAGATATTAATATTCCATCCACATTCAATGGTGTTCAAAGATATTTGAAGGACTGTACTTCACAGAAAAGATAAGTTTTTACAGCTGGATATATTCCCCAAGATCTCCCAATAATTCCTTACTCTACATGTCTAAAAAGCAGTGATTCTTAAGGCAAAAGCAGGACTATAATGTATTTTACATATTTTTACACAGGAGATTTCAGAAAATTGAGGAATCTAGATTTGGAACATAACTCTCAAGGTCATAAAATGTATCATCCCTTTAAAATAGGAATGATTGGCAACTCTGTTTTATGTATTTATTTAAAGCCATTCTTCAGGGAAAATTCAAGATAAATGGGAGAGACTGTACTCACTGAACATGTACTTGAGCTTGATGGCAGCAGCAATGAAGGAGTCGAATGAAACGGTACCCTTCTTGTCCGCATAGCGCAGAATCAGGGCGCTGAATGATTCATTGCTCAGTTTGAATCCTGTCAGAGAAAGGAAATAAAAAAGAAGAAATGATAAAGATATCAAAGACAGCTAGCACTTTCTTTATCATCATTAACATCACCGTCCTCATCACCATCACCACCATTCTCATCATCATCATCATCATCATCATCATCATCATCATCATCATTATCATCATCTTCTTCATCATCATCTTCACCATCATCATTATCACCATCATCATTCATCATCATCATCATCATCATCATCATCACCATCACCATCACCATCATCATCATCATCATCATCACCACCATCATCACCACCGTCATCATCATCATCATCATCATCATCACCATCACCATCACCATCATCATCATCATCATCATCACCACCATCATCACCACCGTCATCGTCATCACCATCATCACCATCACCAACATCATCATCATCATCACCACCGTCATTACCACCGTCATCATCATCACCATCACCATCATCATATTCTTCATCATCATCCTCATCATCATCATCATCTTCATTGTTTAGCATCCTTTTTAGCCACACTGAGGGGTTGGATGTTCAATTTCCCTTATGCCCCCCCCCCCCCCCCCCCCCTCTCCAGGCCGGCCTTCAGCATCCACCTGGTAGAGGCCAGATGATCTCAATTATATAAGCTTTAAAAAACTTATTTAAGATACCAGTTGGTCATCTAAATTATTTCTAAAGTACATCCAAACAATATAGCACTGTAAGTTCTGTACATTTGAAGCGTGAAAAATCACTTAACAGACAAATGGAAGAGCCTGAAATCAGGCAGGGACTGAAAACTAACATAACCAGTGACGAAAATGTTCTTATTTGTAATTACCCCTCGAATAACTTTCTATATCAGCCTTCAGGTGAAATAAACTGCATGTGGCACTCGAAGGGTTAAAATCACTGTTCTTGTTTGACTAATTCTTTTATGAATGCATTTTGACCAGGTTTGGTAAAGTTATTTGACTTGAAAGAGGCAATGTCTTACCAAGTGAGCGTAGAGCACCCTTCATCTCGTAGCCATTGAATGAGCCAGACTTGTCTTGGTCATACTTCTTGAAAACAGCCTGTAAAAATGCAAAACATGACATCACCTTTGGGTTACTTAGAGCAAATACAATCAATTTCTGTTTGAAAGGTAGAAAACCCATATATATTGGACAGGCCTGTTTTCCATAATCAATTTTATTCAAAAATAGCATCTCACTTCCCTTCTATAATAATAATAATAATAATAATAATAATAATAAATTTATATAGCGCAGCTTTTATACAAAATATATTCAGCTGCGCTGGTTAAGAGAAATCATCAATTATTTAGAGATTATCAGGCAAGAACTGCATAACATTCTAGTTGCACGTTGGAACCGAGTGACTTTCTCTTATTAGTTGCACGTTGGAACCGAGTGACTTATGTAGCAAGCCTATTGGAGTGAGAGAATGCAGAAGTCAGTGGGTTAAATAGAATAGATAGTGTATTTTTGATACAGACCTTCCACGCGCTGATGTTCTGCCACAGCTCTCTGAACTCTTCAAATCCAAGTTTGCCAGAACGATCGTCCTGAATGAAAACGCTAAGGAATTGTCATATTTATTCATTCATTTATTCAAACATATTTATGAAGAATGACAAACCCAGTTTGCTTTTTGCACCTTATAAACAAGTACACAATACTAGACAACATGCAGATATGGACTTGTCCCTTGTGACTTTATAATCGAAGTACACGAGCTAACAAATTAGATCCTCAGATGCAAAAGAAGCTAATCTTTCTAAAAGATAGAAAATGAAAAGAGAACAATTATAACACATTTGTTTCTCTGTTCACTTCATCATGCAGCATTGTAATTATTCCTTGGTTTGCATGTTTTGGCAATTAATGCTCCACAGTAAATTTCTACACTAACCAACATCCTAACCTCAAAAGGCTCAAACCAGGACTTAACACTAGACCTAACCCTAAGCCTAACCCTAAACCTGAATGCGACCCTATCCCTACAAAATTATCAAGTTAAAATCCCCCCATCTGTTAATTTCTATGTAATACATTTATAAGTTATACACCACACTACACGGATAGATACTTCTACCTTGACAAGGGCCCCTGTTTCATAAAACTTGTTATCAATAACAAATGCTAAAATTCTATGACAAATTTGCTCACAGCCAATCCAATGCAGCTATTTCAGTAGCTTATAACAATAATTGGAACTTCTTATTGATAACAAGTTTTATGAAACCGGGCCATGGTGTGGGGAGAAAGGCCTGTGGGCCATAGTCATTTAGTCGACCTATTCCTTCCCAGTCCGCCTGGAAGTGTCTATATCCAATCCATATGATCTTAGTGTGTTATTGCGTTAATAACTCTTTTCTATCATTGCTGGTTGACATTTAATATTGCATGTATTGTAAGTACCAAAAAATTAAATAATGCTAATAAAATTAAAGAGTCAGAAAGGATACATCGGTGAGAGCGACCATACTCTTGCAGGATTCCAGGCTAAATCCACCACCTTGGAGCTCTGAAATAGTTGCAGGAAAGAATTTAAAAAGGATAAAAACAATCAATTTCTGCTTTGATGCTACAGCATCAAAATAAAGTTCATTTTTTCAATTTTTCATTCAACGGTAATACATTTTAAAAAGGGTTATCATGCAATACTGGTACAGAATTATGTTATCTTGTAGCAAAAGGAGGACAAATTGCATTCAGCATCCAAGAAAAAGTGTAGAAACCCACACTAGATAAAGGTAATCGTCATGCTGTTATATTAGACTAAATATAGAGAGAGACTAGTTTATAAAGTAAATTATAAATAAATTATGTGCAAATACATAACAAGTCTCAATGAAATAAAAGTTCAAATTCATTTTTTGTTGTTAATCATAAACGGGTCTGAATCAATATCTTTCACAGTTTTGAGCTTATTAGACATATTTGTAATGTTATGTATTCACACATAAGGACCATTTACAATTGGTATCATTATAATTATTTTTTAAATCTTGGCATGAAAAAAACAATCTTCTTCTTTGAAAGATACATCCTTCAAAAGAAAATAAATTGCCATAAACATGCAATAAGATGTTTCCATTACTAAATGAATAATAATTGAACTAATAATTTTCTTACACAAGAGAACTTGTTAAAATGTTGATAAGTTTTGCAAGTTGTAAACAAAAATAAAAGGTATTAATGAGATTAATCAGCATGCACACATTTCAGCATTTCTTACTTCTTTTACTCTTTGAAATCTTGTAGGAAAACAAAACCAATAACGAAGAAGCTAAAAAACTGTTTGCATCATCTCAGAAAATCTCATAATTGCACTCTCATTATCATTTCTATTGAATTACCATCAGTTTCTTCAAGGAGATCTTCTCGTCACAAAGTTGTGAGCGTTTCATGAGAGAAGAAAATCAATTCATATTATCAACACCAACACCATGTATTTCTTACCACCAGGTACTTGTAAATCTGCATCCACAGTCAGTCAAAACGGGTGTTGCAAGCACAATTAACGAATCACATGTTACAGCAAATGCGAAGGCGAAGAACAGAAATGTGAGAGAAAAGTGAGCGGGTGGAAGACATGCAAATATGGGTAAGGAAAGAGAACAAAATGCATATACTTTGATGGGCCTTGATAAGGATATAAGGCCATGAATGTCTTACGCAGAAGGGCATTAGTGCTGTATACTTGAATGCACAGTGTTAATGCCCTTCTGCTTCTAATGATGATGGTCTGCGTGTTAAAAAACTGAATAAAATGCATTATGAAGCTTATACTATGAATAATGATTCTAAGTGAGGAAAGCATTGCATCATTTTACTGACTGTCACTTAACTAGCAGATTAATTCCAAGTTTGCTGATCACTAAATTAGCAAATATGGTTGAGAAAACAAGTATTTAAAACAGAATGAGGCTTGATGCTGTTGAGATCGATCAAATAAAGACTAAGCCTGGGTAAATCAAAACCATGCAAATTTTGTCTTTTTCTATTATCTAACAAAACCTTGATATCAAGGCTTTACTAGATGATAGAAAACAAAAACACGTAAAATTCAATATGAACTGGAGAAAGGTCTCCATTTTATTATTATTCTTTTCATTTTTTTTTTTGGGGGGGGGGGTGGGGGGTTGTGGAAAACATGAGAAATGTGTAACAGCTATCAGCACAAAAGTCACAATTTTCCAGCAAATAAATTCTTTCAGCAACATGAAACACAATAATTTTAAGACCAGTAGCTGAAAATTGGCAGAAGTCATTTGTAAATTGATGCAATGCTTACAAACAACTACATACTGACAAAATGCAATAAAATGCAAACTACAGTGGGGAAAATGCAAAAATACACATGGCAAGACAACATCTCTTTCTAAACCTGTCAAAATGATACATATTTTGTACTGGGATGGGATGGAATGGAACATAAATAAATTCCTACATTTTGAACGATTATCTATTTTCCCCTAATCTTAATCTGTTGACTCCTGAAGTGTCTCATTCCACACAGGCATTGTTCAGGAACCACCCAATTCCAGTAGCTAATGGCTTAATAGCAAACTAGATAAAATTTAGCTTATTTTCAACTTGATTTTGATTTCATTTTTTAGGAAGATAACAGTTTTTTGAAGCAAAATTTTATAATAAAATCAAATGCGACACAGTTTCATTTTACTAACTGACACAGTGAGGAAAACAAAATTTTTGTTTGACCAAAGAAGCATTTGGGGAACACAGAACAGCGGGAAGACTGTTGGGACTACGCAATACAATTTTGTTGGGAAATGATAACAATGCCAAGGAAATAAAAACTCATATCTGCTATTGAATTTCCATTTTTGATCACAAATATCTTTAGACAAAACAGCCAATCATTTTAGGGTCATCTTTAAAGTTGGAGCAGCAGCAGGAAGGGGTATATCAAAAACAAGAAAAGGATTTCCAAACGCATAAATGATCAAACAGTAGAAGGATTTTTTTCTTCTTCAAAGCTGATATCACAAAAACAACAATCACTGCTAAATCAAAAAGAATTTACAGATACTAAAATGAGGAAAGTGATGAGTAGATTATCAAATGACAATTTTGTCTAATCTAACATTTAGGCATTTGTGATTTTAGGGATATTTTCTTTCACTGTGAAAAGCTTGTATTTTACAATTGCAAGAGTGGGATTTGATAGGTTGTTTCAAAAACAAATAAGTGAAAAGTAGAGAAAATTGCTGGCTATTGATCAGTGAACACAAGAAAAGCCTTTTGTTTCAAAAGAGAATTTTGGGGTTTTGTTGTCTTACTGACCTTCTGTGTAATTCACATAAAAATAATATTCATGCAATGATAAAAGAGAAATTCAAGATATTGTTAAATGGTTAATAGTCGTCATAATGCAATAGTACTATTTCTTGCAATATTTAAAAAGATAGGATCAACCAGAGTTGTAGTCCTTAAGATTCTTAGATACACATTAATAACTGACATGCACATTAAAATTCATACATTGTGTGATGTTGTTCAAAAAATGAGAACGAAATTCAATTGTTATTTTAGTTGAACAATTTCTCAAGAACATTTTACAGCCTTATTATTTTGATTCTTATCTGACAGGAGGAAATGTACGGTAAGTCAATAAACATGCACAATATTCACTATGTACATTTCATCCTCCTGGTATAATATAAGCAGTTAAAAATATATATCTTTAAAAAGTCCATACATGTGTTATACATCGTCATATTCACCTGTGATAAACATTTGTCGCAAATATTGTTATTATGCTGTTACTAGCAGACCTACACCTATAAGAACTTGTACATGTCTGTTGTATCTTTTTAGACAGATTCATACCAATTTTGTAATTTTTTTGAAAACATGTATGAATTCTTGGCCCAAATATGATAAGCCTGTCTTATACTCATCATTTTCTTACTTTCCGTTTCTTGTATATCATACAAGAGGTTTTGAATATACATATGGATGTAGATGTGAGTACCAAAGCAAACATCAATAAAATATATGATAACAACATTAACATGTATTCTGAATGATGGTGATGTTCAGCTGAAAGATGACTGATGTCAGTGCTGAAATTCCCAACCTAACCAATAAAAGCTGATAAACAATATCACCATGATATTTTTGCACATAGAAATATATAAGCTGCTAAAGTGCCCATATGTGTGTGCCCTTGTTTACCTCAATGGTGTGTTATATCCTGCCATTTCAATAATTATAAATGAAGACAATACCAATGATTGATAAAAATAACCATATGACGATGACTCTGTTTATTCCGTTGACCCGTTTCTATGACCAAACTACAAAGCGTTTGCAATGCTCTCAATAAACAGTTTGTTTAAGGACCCTATTCCAAATGAAATTAGTCAAATCGACCCTGTAGAGCAAAAGCTTCCCTGTGCATGGTTGCAGCTTATATAAATGACATGGCATCCAATGAAAATGTTTATAAGTATGTGTCTGTAACTGTCTGTGTCTTGTGAGTGTGTCTGGTGAATTTAGTAATCCCAAAGATCATTGCTGGAGCTGGGTCATTCAAAAGTAGACTTGGAGGCATGTACAAACAAACAAACATTTATAAACAATGTGGGGGAAAAAAACACAGAAATGCTATTTTTCCACAAGAGTGTCAAGTTTGTGAAAAGTGATGTGACTTATTTTGGTCTCTTGGTGCTATTTCTGATCATATTTCAGCCTATTTGCGACAGAAGTTAATGCTTTGAAGTTCTCCTTCAATCATTTCCACCATGTTTAGTGTCAAATTATACCAAACATGGTAAAGCCCCAGTCCCATATAAAGCCGGACCAGCACGGACGAGCACGGACCACTCCGGACCATCCCGGACCATGGTCTGGGGTGATCCGGGATGGTCCGGGATGTTTTGTTCAAAAAAGTGTGATGCTTTAAAAGCTACAGTCCCATATACGTCCCGGACCGTCCCGGACCATCCCGGACCCCATCCGGGGTGATCCGGGATTCGGTCCGTGTTGACACCGTGTTGGCACCGGGGTGGTCCTGGATGGTCCTGGATGGTCCTGGATGGTCCTGGGCGGTCAATAACTCACTCCCGGACTGCCACGGATCAACACGGACCGCCCCGGCGCCACTACGGATGACCCCGGACCTAGCACGGTGGCTACACGGATCACCCCGGATCAAACTATTGTCCCGGACCGTCCCGGACCACCCCGGCAGTTTTTGACCGTCAAAAACATCCGGGGTCGACTCCCGGACCGCCCAGGACCATCCAGGACCATCCAGGACCATCCAGGACCATCCAGGACCACCCCGGTGCCAACACGGTGTCAACACGGACCGAATCCCGGATCACCCCGGATGGGGTCCGGGATGGTCCGGGACGGTCCGGGACGTATATGGGACTGTAGCTTTAGATCCATACAACAATTCACACTCGTAGCAATGATCTTTAGGGGTAATGACTATATGTGATGCAGATAGTGTAGTTGCAATGTAGTGACTGACACTGTGATTGAACCCTGAAGCTATTCATATAGTTGCATGCTATGAGGGTGTGGTTTAGTGGTCACTGACCTTTGCGCAGGGCTGCGTTCAGGATCTCCTGTAGCTCCCAGGCATCGACTTCCATATCCTGTACAAGACAACAAAACAGATGTCATCAAATTGTATTCCATCTGGACAATAGTCATTATTATTATCACCGTCATTGGATTCAGTTGATATTCTGCAAACAAAGTTCACTCTTTTTACTCAATTAGGGAGTGTTTCAACTAGTTGCTTAATTGGTAAAAGCTTGTTCACGTCTGCCATGTGTCTTTGTGTTTACCCAATGAATGACATGGGGGGGGGGGTGGCTGGAAAAAAGTAGCTGCATGCAACAAACTACCTACACATGGTCAATTGTCTGAACCAATAAACAAAATAATAAATTTTAAAAACACATAAATAAATCAAAATATCTAAATCAATTGAATCTACACCAAAAAAATATATTATTTGTTGAGACTCTGAAAGAAATGCTTTGTATTTTCTTCTGTTTTGTGATCACATAATGGTTATATAATTGTCATCTGTACACTTCTTTGTTAACTATATTTCTGCTGTTTATTGTTCAACCAATGGAAAAATAATGTCTATTGCAATCAAGAAATAAATTTGAATTCAATTCAATGAATCCATGTAAGTCAAGAATCTTGTTCTCAACAAAGTATCAATACAGCTATAAAATGCGCTACAAAAAAAAAGCTAATGATTTGTCATATGGACTTACAGGGCCGGTGAGTTTCTTGAAGAACTCACGGAAGCGTTGAGTCTGAGCATCGTCCTGTGGTGGCGGCTGTAGGGTTTAATTTTCAAACACAATCATGATCAATACACATCTGAGAGATAAATGGCAAAATGCAAAATTGTCTAAAGCCCTGACAAAATACAAAGGAGCAGAAAGCACTTGAGCTAGGGACAGCTTCTACAGAGCTCTGAAAATTTTAGAAAATAAGGAATTCTACCTATTTTCACATTTTAGACAATAAAAAAGAAGGTTTGTTAAAGAGATTTTTTTAGGGCACTTGTTCAAACTGAGAGGGGACAAGTTTAGCCATGTGAATATTTCTCTTAACTTCACTGGAATTAATATCTCATAATTCATGCACTGGACGTGATAATGTAGAGTTGGACAAAAGAATTCTAAATATGAAACATGTTGGGAGTAATTCTGTGTAGAATATAGGGTTCAACATTTCTTACAAAAATTGATATCTAACAAATCTCAAATTGAGAAAGCAACAATCTGCAAATATAAAGTGGAAAAGACACATTGGTATGAACCAAAATGAGGATGTCATAAACTTGCATGATATGGTAGAAAAATAGAAATGAACCGTCATACTGATACAAAAATGTTGTTCTTCTTCTTCAATTCAAAACCCAAATGTGCATGCATCATGTGCAATTGAACATAGCAATATCTGATTGAACTGTGTTCCACCGGTGTTGAAATCAAATATTACTGACAAGTTGATTTGTTTAATTTCACCACAGAACATTGCTAGCAGTTTTATCACACAACAAAACAAATATAATCAAGATTGTATAACAAGATTACAGTCATGAAATATGAATTATCTATGAACTAGGACAAATAACAAAAAACATGCTTCAATCAAACACTGCAAAGTGTCCACTTCAACTTAAATAATACATTCATTTTTCATGTTACAATATTATGATGAACAAATCCTGCTTCTCTCGTGATATCATGTATAAGCGATCGATCCTAAACATCGCAGTTACAATTTTGACATACTTTCAAAGCTTGGGCAAGATTTAAGAGTTTTAGAGTCTTATAGAACAAATTGTTAATATTTCAAATAATGGTAGTATCAACCTCCTCCTTCTGAATGATGGTTTTCACGTCAAATCTATCTGGATGTTAATCATTAACATTGTTATTCTGCTGAATACCAAGCCAAAGATATCTTGGGCTAGAAAGAGTTCCCTAATTATTAAATCATACTCAACGAGTTAAAAATGAGGCAATATTTCAAAACAAAACATCTTGACAACCACTTTAAAACACCCTTTATAGGCAAGTCCAAAGATTTGGTCATTGGCTGTCCCATATGTAACCATGAATACAGAAAAATAAACAACCATTTGGTTAAATGACACATGCTCTTGTGTCAATTGCTCCATGATATTGTCCAGTACACGAACCATCTTCAACACTGGACTGAATACTATACCTAACCCTCATCCTAAAACCCTAAATTGTATTTTTAACTTATTTACAATCCTAACCACTCTATATTTTTCATGATGCAACTGAGTCTCCAATATGCATCTACCTTGGTGGCCTAAAGCATACGAAAACCCATAGCAATTGTTTGAAATGTCAGAGCACTGACAATCAACATCACAAATTTGTCATTTGATCTGATCTGATCGAGCTCTAGAACGTCTGTCAACTTTCCAGGTATATTGCAAATTATGATGATGTCGGTAACCTATGGGACAATACACCCTGGACTTGCCTTTGTATTATTATACTCTCTATGCACCAATGTTATCGATCAAAACAAAATCTGTGACATGCAATATTCTTGCTGATAAAGACAAACAAAAGGTTACAATTATGTGATAACTCAATGTATAACAACTTATCATTTGATAACTTTTTTTCCAATCTTAATTGTAAAAAAAAAAACTTCTTTTCTATCTCACACATGTATGGGGTAATTAAATAGTTTGAAAATTTTGAATAAAACTGCTAATCTAAAAGAAAAAATATATACATGTAAGGCAGTATATATTTATGGTTTCACATCGAGATATCTAAAAGGCAAATTTCTGAATTGGCCTGCTTTTCAAATACATCACAACAAAATCTAAAAAACAAATCAGGCAAACATTAATCAGGAGGTACTTGTTCATTTGCATAATTTATGAGTTTTTGTAATCCAAAAAAAGACACTTCTTGTTCAAGTTGACCTGATTTAACCCTCCTGACATGAATAAAGATTTGTTTAACATAACTCCTAAAATCTAAATCACATATCTAGGATCCACACTTGTTCACTGGAGTTGTGTTCAACCACTACTTTTCATGCATGCCACAGGTAAATTCATGTTTTTGTATGATATATGCATCAAAATAAGATAATTCCATTATTATGGTTGGCAACTGACAAAATCACTACTGAATTCAGTCCATCATCATCGACATTCAGGGATTCTGATGCACGTACAGAACCATAATAATATGAAAGACTAGATGGATCTTCGACTGTGCGCAGTCATAGAGCGATTTAAAATTCAATTTTATTTTAATCCATTAAAGATAAACTTTAGTACTGGTAATGCTATTGCATTGTGAAAGAAAAGGTGTGGAAAGGATCAGAAACCGTTGATCATGTAGCATGTAAGTATTGGTGTGCACTGCAAGGTTCTGGAGTCATCAAAATCATAATAAATTTGACCGAGTCTTGGTAAAGTAACAAGCACTGTACACAGAAAGCTATATATGGGACAACACACATGGTGTCGGGGCTAGTACTACCTTGATTTCCTTGTCTTTCTATGCTCATTACTCAGCCAGTATACATTTTCTTCCAAAATTGTTCGGCACATGTCATTTATTTGTAATCTTGAACATTCAGTGTAAGTTTAGTTTGATTCTGTGAGAATTAATTTTCTTTTTTTTTTACCAGAACTGGAGTTTATCTTTAACATGTTCTCAGAATATTGTGATTACAATCTATTTTTCACATACATGTATGACTCGTTGATCTTGGATCTCGTGACGGTTGACCCTAAAATCCAACTTCAGTCCAGGCAAGAATGTCATTTTGGCGAAGGTATGAGAAGTGATCGATGGGTGAAGCATGGTAAATCAGTATGCACATGATTAAATCACGTCAAAACTTCCACAAGAAAAGAAGAAGACATATTCTAGGAATGTCCTGTAAACTCATGTCCACAACGTGAAGGAGAGGATGATGATGATTGTGTCACAAACTCTTGCAGTGCTCTCAAAAAAATGTCTTTTGTTATGAAGAGGGAGGGGGAGAAAACACATTTGTGATGGTGTTCGAGGGGGGTCAGTCACGCCGGTCAAGCTGTTCAAACCCATGCGACGAGGCCCAACTGATTGGTCGAAACCTCTGTGGTAGCCTACCCTGAAGAAGTCATATGACGTTTGATCCCATGCCGGCGAATGGATGTAACCTGTCGGGGAATGCGAGTAACCGGTCGAGTAATCGGTCGTCGAGTGACCGGAGGAGTAACCAGATGGAGACAGACTCGGCGAAAAACACGGCTGAGCATATGACTGGAAGGGACTCTGGCTCTTCTGAATAAATAAATAAAATCCCTCTTCCTACTTATGTATATTCAATTTTCCAAGAAGATAATTATCGAAAAGAATAGGAATGTACCATGAACACCAGATGACAATCACTACTCCTGCATTCAAAAAGTAATGTTTGAATTCTATGATATGCTGAAGATACTTTTTAGTAGTAATCATTTACCAATGCACAAACATTTTAATATTTCTTTATCTATTTATTCTAGATGTTATTCATTCACTATAAATGAACATGCGCAGGCAATACTTGGTGACTATATGAGTTGCAATATAACAATGAAATCGGATATCTGATCGAAGCCATGCTCGTCACCCCAAACTCGGTCATCTCCAGATACCGTGCAACTCACTCTCACCTGAGTAGCGGATGGAGCGGCGGCAAAGGTATCGCGAGACGAGTTTGCGGAGATGGGAGGGGCGGCGTAGGTATCGTGGGACGCCTTTTATAAGCAGGTACATGTAGGTAGGGGGGAGTTGCGAAAATTCATTGGAGCAAAGTACAATTACACGTGCATACAATGACACAGAGAGAATCTAGGGGATGACGGGGGATTTTTTTTCAAAGAGAGTTGCATGAGCACATGAAAATGCATTTTTAAAGTTACAAGTACTGGATAGTATAAACAAATGGGTGGGAAAAATTTTTTAAACTATGGGAGACTAGGCATATGGTTTCACTGGATTTAAACCCATTGGAAATGGCATTCACTACATATGAACATGTGGGTGTTTTCAGAGTGGGTCCATGATTGAGGGAACATTTCATCAATTCAAACGTTTCAAATAGAAAACCATGCATTAACATATAAAGTCTTGAATAAACAGCCTTGAGAGGATAGGAACACAGCTTTCATCTTATTGAGAGGTTATTGTCTCACCTGGCCAGGAGCACTGGGAGCACTGTATGCATCCTGGGCTGCGTTTACATTAGACTTGCAAAGGAGGTTATTAAAATATCAACTGAAATACCAGTCATTTTCCAAACAATTCTATGACATCAAGACCCTCCCTCAGTGTTATTTAGAGTACGCATATGCGTGTTCCCTCTATGTGGGGGAGGGTGCACATTTTCTTTTATTTAAAGCCTATCTGCACTAGTTTGGCCAGGAGGGATTAGACCCTGCATGGTCACTGACAGGTGGTTATCTTATCAAATCACTTCTCAAATTACATAAGAAAAAGGGGATCATGGGGACCAACGGGTACCACTTAGGCATTGTTTGCTATATAGAGGGTACAAGTAGCTACAGGTAGTGTAGTCCCGCTTTATGCAAAAGACCGAAGTGACAACTATTTCCCAACTGACTACTAGCTAGATCAACTTCACATTTAGTCATTTTCTAACCACTACTTCCACACCATGACCCTTCACCTTTATACTTGAGGTCATTGCACTCTTACTGCGCTAGGTGACCTTTGAACTTGTGAAAAATTACTGCAGTGAAACTACGGTACAAGAAATATCTTTTTCATTCAAATACTACTAAAATATGATCCTTCACAGTGTTTTGGAGGTAGAGTAAAAAAAGTAATTCACTAAAAAATGTGTTCAGTCAATTTTATTATGGAAATTTTAGATTTAAAGGACTTCACTACTACAGGAAAAAGGGGGTAAATATATTTTGTATTTGTGACCCAGTTCTAATGAGATTATGACCGTGGAAGCAAATAAAACTGAAGCTCAACAGAAAGCGGAGAAATTGGTCAACAATAAAAGCAATGATCAACAATGGATACTAAAACAAAAATCAAATAAAAATCATTAAAGTTGAAAGCAGCTTAACTGATAACAATTAACACATACATGAGTAACCAGCTTCACAACATTTAAAGCATTTTTTTTTTTGCTTCATAAATCTACATTTGCTGCAAACTTTGGGTGAAAATGATAGATGTGGAGGTGTTAAGCGATCACTTCTACGATTTATTGAAAAAAATACATAAATACAAATAACAAAAAACAAATATGAATGTATTTGTGACAATATGAACATAAGCAAAGGCTATTCATAAGGGCTTCTATGCGATATAAAAATGGTTAAGCAACTCTTTGTGGGTTTTTTTCATTTCATGATACTCAATTCAAGTGCAAAAAAATAAATTTGCTGTATACAGAACTATAATTTTGGAATGGAGTCAAAAAAGTTAATAAAGTAGTCAAAAATATTACCTGTTTGGGTACGTCTACCATGCCAGACTCTTCATCAATAGATCTATAAAAAAGAGGAGAGAAAGATCGTAATCGTCTGGCATTTTGTTGCTTGTATACATATGTCATGTGGTTTGAGAGTTTAAAATCAGACTTTTATGGCTTCATTTGATTTACAAATCTGAGAGGGAAATAGTATCTCACCCTGTGTCTCATGTTACGGTGGTTACAGATAAAAGCACTCTGTCCCTCAAATAGGGTGTTAAATGGAGGTCCCATGTGTTTGAGAGAACCTCTTCCAACCCCAACCCCATGCCTATTTAGAACCCATTGTAATCATTCAGGTGAAAGCCCCAGAGAGGTGGTCCACCAGCCCATCCGAGTAGGTTATGTCGAGAGGAAAGACCCAAGGTTTACATTACAGTGAGCCCTTGGGAACAGCTGACACCAACTACTACTAATAATTGTTGCCATATGTACCAAATTTTTCAATTTGTACTATGCATTTATAATTTTTTAGTGTAATTAGATTGTTAATGCAGTGCCCCCTGGAAGAACATTATGTCATTTTTTGATGGTGCTACGTTAACAAAATTAAAAAAAAAAAAAAATCAAATCATATCTGCCTAGTTCGTGACTGTGAACAAAGAAGTTTTTTTTTTTTAAATGTGCGTCACAAATACCGGTTAGCATCCCCATAACTTTATGGAGTAGGAACTCATCTGAAAAGGTTAGTCTATCACTTTAAGATTGTACGGACAGTAATTTTTTTTATTTCTCCGTTCAATACCAATATCAATACTATTATTTTCATTATATACGTTTTGTGTACATACTGTAAAGTAACGTTCGCAGACAACTAAAATCTAGAGAGAATGAAAGAAATGCATTTCACTTACACTCCCTTACTCAGCTTCATGGAGAAGATACGCAGGAGGAAGTCACCCTCTTGGCCGGGTTCAAAGGTCGAAGGGACGATAACATAGTGGCCGGGTGGCAGCTTGAATCTTCCGCTCACCTCACGGGTGTTGGTGAAAGAGGGTGATCGAGCTGTAGATGCGTTGTACAGGAAGTGGTCCTTGGGAAGTCCGACGGAGGCGTCAAAGTTGCCGTCAGTCTAACAAAAAAAACAAAGAAAGATTGATAAAACATGTTTTCCACATTCACCTACATCTTTTTAGGGGTTCCTTTTTCATTGAGAATCATTGAATCACGCAAATATTGAAGCCAACTTCATCATGTGCCAATCAAAATTGTTTATTAATAGCCAAGCAAAAACTGTACAAACATACCTTCCGAGATACAGAAATGGCTTTAAATATGTAATTCCTTGCAATTGAACAATATTGCCGGCCGAGGATGATAATAACATTGAACTGTCTATGACTTAAATGGAAGCACAATGATCAAATTAATAAGACTAAGGTTGAAATGGATTTCCAAAGATAAAATTGACAATGAGATGTGGATGATTACGAAGTTTCAAGACAAAAGTGAATGAATGTAGAATGTGAACAAATACTGTTCTTTGTAGAGTACAATTTCCAGTAGAATATGCATATGCACCAACTAAGGCAAAGGACAGATCGGTAACAAACTACCCACATTGATGCTATGCTCTAAAGATTTTTGAAACAGAGAGAAACCCAAGTTCCAAAACCAAATTCCTAAACCAAGTGAACGTGCTTGGGCTCTTTGGTAAAACAATAATCCTCAATTACCAGTCCTCGTATATTAATTAAAGCCATTAATTGGTTCACTGTTTGTTTGCATGTATGCAAAAAGTGGTTTTTTCGCAGTCAGAAGAAGTACACCATAAACCATGCACACTGGACAGTAGTGACATATTACTCACCTGGTAAATGGCGAAACCACAGGTGAGGTTGTCGACGCCCATTTTGCGCTGTGCTCGCCTGTTCTTCTGCATGAGGGCGACCAAGAAGGTAGATCCTGGCTTATCTTGTCCTGGGTCCTCGTCTTCTTCATCTCCGACATCATCCTTGTCATCCTCCTCCTCCAAGATGAGGGAGAACTGGGGATTGATCCAGAAGGAATCTGAGGATGGAAGATGATGATAACACTTTCAAGGTCATGTTGAATTTAGAGGTACTCTTGACAATTATCAAGCCTGAAGGTTTGGTTAGGGTAGCAATTAGGTTTTAGGTTAGGTTTAGGGTTAGGTTTAGGGTTAGAATTAGAATTAGGGTTGGGGTTTGGGTATAAGTGAGCCATTTTGTTTGGTTTAGGGTTGTAAGGTATTGCCTGCAGTGCGAATTGTTGCTGGAGCACGTCATAACAATATCCTGGAACTTCTCACAGAACCAAATGAAACTCATCCTGAATTTTCAAGACAAATACAAATAAATAATAATGGCCTGAGTAGCCTTATTTATAGACAGGTTTGACATTACATATTATAGTTTTGAAAGTACTTTGAATAGTGGGAATGGGTCTAACCAGGGAAGTTGCGGCATCCTCCAGCAGTAGCTCCTTTCTGCCATTTGCCGTCGTTGACGATGGCCTGCCACTTCCTCTTGCCCTTGCCTGTCATAGCCTCTGCACTCAAGTGGCACATGTCGACCCTCTCAAAATTCCTCTTAAAGTCACTGAATTCCATCCTGCAAGAAAAAATCACACATATATAAACATATATATATATATATATATATATATTCAAACCTACGAACGTAAAGATAGCATGCCTGGATTCTTTTGAAAAATGGGTTTGGGATATATTCATCATTTTTTTAAGATAAGGTGGAGTTTTGGTAAAGAAAAAAATAATTATTGAGATTATGTGTCTTTTTACTATACCAGATAATAGGATGAAAGTCATAACAGAAATGTTCCCTGAACAGGATGCTCTTCATATGCCACCATACTCAAAATGTGACAAAATATACATGCAATGAAATTGTTTGGACCAATCAGTCACGCCACATATATGTGTTTAGCCCTATAGTATCCATTTAATGCAAGGGTCACTCTGTGGCCTGGACCCACCCTCCTCAGAGGTCGCCAAATATCGACGTCGACTCGACGCCTAAGCCTGACCCTGACCTATTTGTTGTTGTAGTGAAGTCCTAACGTTCGTTTTTCTTCATTGGGTGAAGCTTTACTATACAAATTGATGAAATGTGTGAAGCTTTGACGAGTAATTTGTTTTTTCTGGTGATGTGACATCGAATCCAATCGGTCGCCTTGTTTGTTCAGGTGATGTGACATCGAAGCCACTACCGGTCGCGTCGAAAATATGTCGAAATCATGTCGAAATCGTGCGTTTCAAAACAACTATTTAATTTTTATTCCGGTCACTCATGCACTCGCAGAGTGATCGTCCTGAGGTCACCGAACTTTTCTCCAGCGAAACTGATTTCGAGATTTCACGAGATCGTTTTCGAGTAGTCTACTAGTCTCCTACACATAACTAGTTGCGTGAGTATTCGCAGTATACGTGCCTGAAAGGCCAGCCTCAAGTCTGGAAACGAGACTAGTAGCCTACGAGCTGTCGGTATTGTACCCAGCATGCGCAGCGCAGATCGTGCCAAGTTTTGGCCCCAAGTTTTTGCGAGGTGAGTTGAAAAAAAATAGAAAGTTCAGAGTTTTCCGATCATTTTGAGACGGTACTACTCCGACCCTGTTTTACGATTGATTATTAACGAAATCTGTGCATAAAACTTAGCCTATATTTTCGCGAGATTTCAATGTTGACGTATTCCACAAAGGTATTACGCCACAGCAGTGAAATATGTAATGGCCAATATGGTGAAACAGTGGTGAAGCTTGAACTATGCAAATGGCCAGTATGGTGAAACAGTGGTGAAGCTTCAGACCGGCCGAAAACTTACAAAAGTGAAGCCTCACCTATGGAAAACTGACACAAGTGAAGCCTCACCTATGTAAAACTGACAAAAGTGAAGCATCACCTATGCAAATAATTCAAAGGGTGAAGCCTGGACTAACACATTTGCTGATAAGAGTGATGCTTTGCCTTTGTTTTTTGTAAAGCACATGAAGTGATGGTGAAACCCTGAGGTTACAAATAATTAGCTCAGGTGAAGAAAGGTGATGACCTGAGGAGGGTGGGTCCAGGCCACAGAGTGACCCTTGCATAAGAGTGCAGTGAATGTGCTTCTTGTCAAGATGAAGTCAATTTGTTTCTGAAACAATCCTTTGTAATTAGTACATAATCAACTTTTTGAAATTGCATCTTATGGCAGGAGCAGAACAAGGCTTTATCTTTACCCTGTCCTAAAGCAACTTTTATTGAAGGAGGAACAACAGCAAATATTGATTGCTTGCTAATTGCTTGCTAAAGCAAACAAGTACTATACGCAATTAGGTGGATACATCTTTTAAAGTTAAAGTTCTATCTGAGGGACCAGGGGGAAGTTAGATTGCACTCACCAGAATTCACCGTCGTCGCCGCTGACCAATCCAAGGTTTTTGCGCTCTCTTTGATTTATATCGTCCCATTCTCTAGCGCTGTGAAAATAATAAACAGAACATAAATAATCAAATACATGTAGACAATTTAAAAGTCAATACACAATCAAATATATATTATAAAAAATGAACAATGATACAATGTGTAGCCATAAAAAAAAAAAAAAATACAAAACAGAATACAATATAAAAACACAGTCTAATATGAACCAAACATGCTTGATGACATGCCAATCATGAGAGAATATGAGATTTTAAAAAAGAGGGATATATCACAATGACCACTAGATCCACTCATACCCCATCTTAATCACAGTGATCCCGATACTAATTAAGCTCTCTCTCAATTACAATGACCCCTAGATCCACTCAAGCTCTCTCGCAATCAAAGCAACAGCTAGATCTCATGCTCTTTCGCACTCCCAGGAACCCTAAGGATTACACGTCTACTTACTTGTCGCTCCATCTTCCATTCCATTCGACTGCCCCCCATGGGTTGCGGATCCTGATAAGACGCACATCGCGGCCCTTAACGTTAACCTTTAAAAAGAAATCAAGAACAGCAGATTTGTTTAATAGATGTAGAATAAAAAACATTTTGACCTTTCCAATTACTTCCACACAGGTTCTTTCACATTGCAATTGCATGTCCAGGGCCCCATCTTATAAAGAGTTGCAATTGATTCAAGTCAAATTGCAATTTGAAATTAATCCCAACTCCTAACTGGGAAGCACACAGTTGCGATTAGTCTAAAGTTGCGATTGATTTGAATTAATCTGTACTCTTTAAAAAAAAAAGAGAATATTATTACTCAACTTTATCTTTATAAAACTTTGAAATCACAGAAAAGGCCAAAACGGCGACCAGCCATTGACCAGTTTTGTGACTGGCAAGATACCACCAGGAAGATATCCCATTTTCATTTTACTTCAAAGTTTAGAAACAACATCGAGCACTCACCTTCTTGACATCAGTGATGGTGTAGGCATGTCCTGCGATGAGACCGGAGGGTAGCTTGGCCTCCGTCACGCCTGGTTTGGCATTGATGGAGCAGCCGAGCTGGGAGTCCCTGTCGTAGGAGGATTTGAGGATCTTGAACAGACCTTTAGGTGGGTTCTGATTCAGGTCAATGGACTCAGAGACACCACCGGTGAAGTCCTCCATAGCCTCGATCACATTGCCACCCTTCAAGCACTCGTAAGAACCATGGAGCCTATTAAAGAAGGTTATTAATTTATAGATTATACACTATGGCTTGAACTCCGGTCTGGTAAAGGTGAAAAAGCTTTTTCATTCGTTTTATGTTCGTTTGGGAAGAGTATCATAGGAAAAATGTTCCCTGAAAAGGATGGCTCATCAGATGCCCTCATATTCAAAATATGACAACAAATAGCTGAAATATTTGAACCACAATTGGAGCATTTCTTATTTGCTGCATTAGCAAGATTTTCCCATTGCTTCTGGTTTCTTTCACAATGCAATCACCTAACCAGAATTCAACAATAATTTTAGATTTAACATTTCTATACCGATTTATGAAGCATCAAATATGAAGCCCTATATTCAGCACAACTGTAAATCTGTCACAAATCAATAAACCAAATAATCCTGACATGGAATAAACTGAAGAAATAAATTTCATTTGCGATGAAATTTGTTTATATGTTTACAGAACTATGCTCATTGTTTAAGGCATGTGGATGATGATATTTGGTAATCCATAAATCAATGGAATAAATCTGCCCACTCAAACCTGAACAACATATAATGTGATTTTATGAATACCAGCATATCAATGGATTATGCAAGTTCTATTCATATCATGGAACCCAAATCTACATATAATTTTTAGCCTCACAATGGCGGACATAGCCTTGCTATGATGTGGTATACCACAGCGTTTTTTTTGTGGGTTTTTTAATGACGTAAGTGTAATACACTTCGCATTTCTGTATCTTACAACACAGCTCAGTGAATACATGTAGGACCTAGCTTTGTTGCACGCAGTTGCCATTTTTTTTACAACTAAAAAAAAAGTTGGTTATTTCTAGCGGCGGTTTACCAAAGCGAATCTAAACAAGTGGTAAATTTGCTCTAGTTCATAACATTACGAACCAGAGCAAAATAACACTATAGGAAATCTATTTATTCAGATGATCATATCTCAGCCAATACTTAAAGGTAAAGACCAGTATTGGTAACGCCCCAATTTCAAAAAATGAAATGGAAGCTCTCATTACCAATCATGTGAAAGAATATGTTTTGACTAATACATGATGATAAAAAATTTGCCGGGAAACCGCCTACTAATTCATATATTTGGTAAATTTATTTCTCTCATGGTCGTGTGAGAGAGATAGGGTAGTCCCATATACATCTTTCTGTGTATAGTGCTTGTAACTTTACGAAGAATGGGCCAAATTTCTTATCATTTTGATGATTCCAGAACCTTGCAGATGCTAGATGCTAGATGATCAACCTTTTCTGATCGATTCCACAACGTTTCTTTCACAATGCAATCGCATGACCATTACTGGTCTTTACCTTTAACATATTCGATTGGTTTTCGACATTTGGACATCATTTTTGATGCTCTTTCGGAAAATGAAGAAAAAATTGAGAAATTCTAAAAAAAGATTTGTTATGATGTCACAGCTTTGGTACTCTAAACTTACTTGGCGTACGCCTTCTCCAAGAGGGCGCTCCAGAACTCATTCTTCTCCTTGGAGTGCACAAAGACGAGCTCATTGTTGTAGGTGGGCAGCTGGTCGTCAATGACAACCGTCACCCATTTGCCGTACTGCCAGAAGTTGAACTTGACCACTCCCAGGTCGAAGTTCTGGTCAGGGGGGATGACCTTCTTGAGAAGATGATCATCCAGAGAGAGACCAGCAGTGGCAGCAAGGAACCAACAGTCACCTGATCAAGTCAAATCAAATGAAATTAAATCAAATCATAGCAAAATCAAAATTACATTCATGGACATTTTAAACTTTTAGTTTGAAGTCTGGAGGAATCGGCAAGTTACAGTAGAAGTTTGTTGATATCCTGTTTTGAAATTTAAACTAATTTTTCACTTAATGACAAATCAACACATAACAATTGTGTGTATCAGTAATTAAGTCATATTCAGAATATTACAAGTGTGTACTGTACCGGTATATCATACCTGGCGTTCCACAGGGCTAGCTTGTTGTAACCAAGTTCTTTTCATTATTACATAGAAAGTAGAGTTGCCCTAAAGGTGAAAGATAATCTGTGAGCTTTCTCATACTTTTAATGTCAATTTGGAAGAATACCCTAGAAGAAATAAGTGAGCGTGCCTGTCCCAGGGGACTGCCTATAGAAAAGAATTCTTTGTTTTTTGTGTAAATGCACATCAGCTGTAAATTATGAAAGTCTTATTTCAAAAGTAAGTGTGAAGTGTGATATGAGCAAGGTTCATTCTGGAAGATGATTGTTTTGGGTTTTTTGCGCTCAAGATGTCGTAAATAGCCTATTACAGGTCAATCACTTTCACTTTCCTTTCTCATCGCTGAGTTCAGGTGTCAAGGACTGATTCATGATGAGAATTCCAGAACGATTACACATCCGCAATAACTGATCATCATTACAAACATATAAAACCGGCCCTGCTAGGCTCCATGTCACATATGACAATAAAGAGAGAGAGAGAGAAAGCTCATTTTTTGCACTGTCAAAATTTTGGAAGTTGGAGACTTTAATAAAGAAAATGTTGAAAATTGGTGGCGAGCATTCTGTATTTTTTAGTTCCATATGGGGCCCATTTACACAGCCCAAAAACCATTTTGAAAAATCCTGCAAAAAATCGATGAAATTTCTGCTGGCGTTTAAAAAAAAAAGAAAGTGGGTTTTTTCAATTAAGTTTTTTTGTAGCGAGTTCTGACAAAATCAATGATTTTTGCTTGAGGTGTAAATGCAGCTATAAAAGAACTTTCCATTTGCAAATTTTGCATGAGGGGGGGGGGGGGGGGCGTGTTTTAGCATACACACAAAAACGTGGTGTGGCTTGGCTTGGTCAACCTATAAAACATCAACAACGGAAGACTGTCATATTTTCAGTGAGTAAAATTGATTAACCATTTTTTTAAATAAGATTATTATTCTCACCAAGTTGTCCCTGTGCAACGTCGAATCGGCTGGCACCACCTACAAACAGTTGAGGATTCTGGACAATTTCCTATAAAGACAAAAAGCAAGAAGTAACAATTATAATCATTGTAATAATCATACAGTGATTTAGCCAGAATGTAAAATAATAATAATATTCTATCTACACGAGGGTAGTCGTATGAGTTACACATTTTCAAGTAAATTTGAAAATATTTTTATTCTTGAAATGTTTGAAGAAAAAAAGTTCCAAGCAAATTTGCTATTGGTACTAAGATAGGGTTATGAGGGTAGTTGAATTATTTACCAAGTTGATTTTAGAAGTAAGAAAAATAACTTATGAAAGTTTTTTGAAGTGATCAATATTTAGGATGAACAAAATACTGTTTAGTTTTATTAGAAGTGATTTGTATTCATACCACAGGACACATAAGCCTTAAATCGTAGAATCATAAAAACTGGGGGAACATAATTTCTTAGGAACTACAAAATAGCAAATCTGAAAAACACAGCAAGATAAACGACTCAATAGCTGCAATAAATGAAATAAAGAAATATATATCTAGCTGAATAAATAAATATATAAAGAAAGAAAGAAATATCTCACAAAAAACTTAATCGTAAGTTTGCAATTAATGGTAGGAATATTGTTACATTAGGATTTAGAATTTGAGATTCAATAAGAAAGAGATTTAATGAACTCCAATAAATTTGCAAACTAGTAGCATCATCTTCAACAACAAAAAGAAGGAAAAAAAGAAGAAGAAAGGAAATGAAAATAGGTATATTGTATGCTATAACTTGTTCAGGGTCAAATGGACTATATAGTAATCAGTCAAAGATTCAATTTGCCACTAAAATTTAATTTCCTGCTTCAAATGACTCACAAAGCTGCGAGCAACACAAGAAAATGTTTCAAAACAAGGGGGGGCGGGGTCACATCATTACAAACAATATGAGCAGGGAGATAGGAGAGATGAGCGCCAGGCTTTTGCTTGGATTACATACAAGATTCTTCTTCTTAAGATTTGAACCTGGATCTCTCTGCAAGCACATGGGTTGCTGATGAGTGACAGCCAGTCATTTTTAAGGGGAATGGAATGCCACGCTGGGACCCTTCAACTCTAGCTCACATCCTCCAAATGCCATGTTTGGAAACGTGGAATGCCGAGAATGGAATAAGGGGGCTGGGCTTCGGCAGAGAGAAGCTCATTTCGTGGGGGCTAGTAGTGGAGGGATTTAAGTTGGGATGGACAGCAGTTTGACCATGATGCAGGCGGGCATGGACTGACCATCCTGTCCGACCATTACACACATGGAATATCCTAAGAGTCAAAATGCTCATTTTGTGCACCTATAAATAAATTATTTCACATCACTTCTACATACAATGCTTTGCAAAGAAATATACCAAACCTACCTGTACTACTACTACTTACTTCTAAAATATTGTCATTATCAAAGAATAACATAAAGAAGTTTTATGGGAGCTAGTAGTGAAGGGATTTAAGTTGGGATGGACATCAGTTTGACCATGATGCGGGTTTAAATTTCATAGTTCATAGCCAGGTGCAGCTATCATATACACACACATAAGTCAAGACTTGAACATTCTTTGTTTATTTCTTTCTTTTATCAGACTGCTAAGAAAGCATGCGTATGCTTGTAAGTAAGCAGCCAGGGGTCTGACGGCTTTTAGACCTATCCCAGGGACTTAGTAACGAGGATCAATGCCTTACCAAAGGGCAATAGCGCATCGACTTGGTTTCGAACCGGGACATCCTGGTTGCGAGACCATGGCTCTAACACTGAGCCATCGGGCCTCCTTTTGTAATAAATCATAGTCTGAGCAGTTATCATAACTTGAAGAGTTTGAGTCTAATGTATAAAGAAATACTCATCTCCAACGGTCAACATACTACAGGGGTGCATGCATGTGATTTTGCATTAGCAGTGGCCACATCTGATGACTCCATCATCAACTTGACTGCATCAATAACATCCCCACTGTGGTTTCATGATCAATTGATGCTGCTCAAACTCACAACACTTTACTGATTAATCCATGATGACAACAGTTTAATGAGCATCTTAAAGGTACTATGTCCCTTTTGCAGCCAACCTCAAATTCTGTAGAACTTTGCAGGAATTATGAATATGTCATGTATGTCCTATCTGTGAAATTTAAACGTTAGCAGTGTCATTATATTCAAATTATGCAAGGAAACCCGTTTACTTCCTAGACTTCACTGTCAGACACTATTGAGTGACTGACTGACTTTTTTCCTTCTTTGGTAATAACATACATGAAAAGAGTTGTAAAGAATACATGAGCATTTGTCTACATCAATAACCCACTTCTTGTGATGGCCAAGATTAAACTGATTGAATCTTTGCGCAGCATAAAACGTATGACCATTCGGTACAATTGTCTGAAAATCAAGACTATTACTTTTGGGCTCTATATAAAGTCGATTTGACAACTAATAGTCGTTATTTTCCCACTTGAAGACATTTTCAAGCCCCACCTTTTTTAGGGAAGTTCTAAATTAGTATTATCTTTCAAATGCAGTTGGAATTTAACTTTTTCATTTTTTGGGCCTGCAAATGGGACATAGTACCTTTAAACACATACCCAAAGAGCTTGTGAAACACCTCATGCCCCCTCCAAAAAAAAGATAAATTAACTGACATTCATCAAGGTAGGAAAACATCATTATAGGGGAGGGGGCTATGTTTAAGCTATATTGGACTAGTTAATATAGTATGACCTTTGCCCTTTGAGCTTATAAAATCTTAAATAATTGACCCTTTTCCTTGCCCTTGTCCTCCTCCAGCAATTTCTCCACCACCCCCACCCCTCATTCTCCCTCTCTCAATATGTTGTTTACATCACACCCACTTTATCTCCACACCCACATCTTAACCTCTTTCCCTTCCCTTCTATTGTCCCAATTTTTATTTGCCTTACTCTCTCTCTCCCTTTCTTAATCCTTTTCTCTCTCATTCTCTCTTTGATTTTTTTTTCTCTCAATTTCCCTTTCTCAACCCATGATGACAATTGAATGGGCATCTTCAACACAATGTTAAAAGAACTTGCACAACAATCAAATAAGAGAAACTTTAAACTACATGCTCATCAAGATAGGAAAATATCACTTTTATCAAAAGCCATGTTGGATAAACTTTGCCCTTGGATTAACCCAAACTGGTAACCCACTGCCTTAATCTTAACCTTGCCCTTCTCCGGGGACTCTCTCTCTCCGTCTCTCCCTCTTCCATGATGTATTTCTGTCACATCCACTCTCAAACACTTTCCCTTTCTATTTTTTCCCCCTTTCTCTCTCTTTCTCTCTTTCTCATGCTGTATCTTATCTCTTCTCACTAATTTTCTCTCATTTTTGTGTCTAATTTTTTTGGTCTCATTTTTTGGTCCTTTCTTCCTGTTTCTTTCTTACTATTCATCTCTCCCTTCCCCTCTCTCTCTCTTTCTCTCTTTCTTTCTTTCTTCTCTTTCCTCCCATTCTCTCTCTCTCTCCCTCCCTCTGTCTCTGTCATTCTCTCTCTCTCTCCCTCTCTCTCTCTCTCTCTCTCTGTCCCTGTCTCTCTGTGTGTCTCTCTCTCTCACTCTCATCCCCATCCACAATATCCTCATACCTGATCAGGTAATATCCCCCTTGATCTACGGAAGCAGATGTCGGCCTACAGGAAGATATTTAGAGAGCCTGATTGGGTGCGACAGGAAAATTCTAGACGTGGAGGAAGAAGTATGGGGCGATTGTCTGCATGGTCCTTGGATGAAGGAATGCATGATTGTATCTACTTAACATGGACATTACTTTCAAACTTTCATTTCACTGTCTAGCATACTTATCATGTATATCCATGGTCACCCTCTCTATCTCTTTAATACTCGTCCTCTATCTGTCTGTCTGTCTCTGTCTCTGTGTGTGTGTGTCTCTCTCTCTGTCCCTCTCTCTCTCTCTCTCTCTCTCTCTCTCTCTCTCTCTCTCTCTCTCTCTTTCTCTCAATTTGTAATTTAACTTTCCCTATAGATATGTTGTAACTTTGAAAATTAAACAAAAAGAAAAGAAAAGAATTGGTCCGTTTGGTTGTGTGAATGAGGTATTATGAGATTTTGTCAGTCACACCAATGAGACAGACATCAGGTCGACACCAGGCCGAACACAAAAATTACATTACCGCAAAAGGCCAAGAATCGGTTGGTTCAGAGTCAGTTTAGTGGTATGACTGGGGTATATATCACCGCACAACAAAATCTTTTGGACCTCTTAACGACCTTCGAAGGTACATTCAAAGACTGAACTTTTTTTTCATTTTTCAATGTATCTATATTTTGATGTACCAAGACTACATCGATGAACCAAGAAAAACATCTTGGCCAACATAACAGATTATCTTTAATCCATAAGTCATGACCCCAGTGGGAAAATTATGACGGGAGCGGTGAGCAATTTAGCTCTGGAATGCTGCAAAAGAGCTCTGGTAAAAATATCACTGTGAGAATAGCACACTTATAAAACCCTTACAATCCTAAAAGAGCTCCTGCAAAACAGTGTTTTTTACACCGTCACTTAAATATGATATGTTGATACTCTAATCTCCCATCACAAAGTGAGGCATGATGGCCTTAGTAGTAGAGCAGTGGTCTTGTAACCCGGAGGTCCCGAGCTCGAAACTAATTTGATGCGCTAGTGCCCTATGGAAAGGCAGTAATTAATCCTCATTACCAAGTCCCTTGGAGAGGACTTATAAAGCCGTCAGTCCCCTTGTTGCTTTATTTTAACACATGTTTTCTTAGCAGTCAGGTAAAACAATCAAACAAACAAACCCCCTTCCCCTGTAGTGTAAGGATGCCAAGGTGCCACTGTTGACAATGAGTGTATATCTATCAGAGATGAGTGTGAGTGTGAGTTGAGTTGAGTTGAAGTTCAGACCTTAGGAAGACGGCCTAACCATGTCACTTCAAAGGTCACCGCAGTAATCAACCGTAACTAATGTCTCATAACTTAAGTTTGGTTGACATCAAGGCAAGCTGTGCCCGGCCAG